CATAAAAAATAAAACTTGTAAATAATCTTTCTCGTCCTTAAAAAAAATTTCCAAAACGGGCCGGGGTCCCGGTCCCCTTTCCCGCCCCCCGCTGTCGAAATTTGGCCCCCCCCCCCCCCCTTCAAATATCGATATGTGACAAGATGAGCGCACGGGTCTTACAGTATGTAAGAACAGACGAGCTTAACCATATCGGCAATTTACGTGGAGCCGAGTTGAAGAATTGATGAAGACTAATAAAAAGAAGAATTTAAGACATCGCTTACACAACATAAAGCGCCTCAGAAATTCCCCATAACGAGTAGGAGAGCGGGAAATGAGTTACCGAGTAATACTTGGCGATCTCGGTTCGGCTCCAGTCCTCTTTGCAGCTAATCAATCGCACAAAGACTATCCGCAATTATGGCGAAGCGATTATTATCTAACCTAGGTTAGGTACCTAACATAGAGAATAGGTACATAGTAAAATGTGGAGTTGAGTGATAATATCCCGCGATAAAAATAAACCAGCTTAAGCGAGATATTATTACATTGCCTCGGTTAGATTCGAGAAAGCTTGCCATCAGTTATGTAGTAATAGCCATTCTCTAGGTATGTCTTAGTTAAAAGTCAAGCTTCACCTTTTGGATGAGCTATCTAAGATTAATGACAGTCTATATACCTACATTAGTTAGATGATTATGCGACAGTGAATTTCCCAATAACTAACCTATATACATAAAACATCATAATCATAAGATATTTTCTGATTGAATATATCTGATGTAGGAAGCCATTAACAATGTGATAATGGATTGTTTTCCTACGCCGCTTATACCAATAAACTCGAGTCTGAGGGGTTATGTTTTGTACATCTATTGGCTCCTCCAAATACCAAATACCAAGAAGCTTAGCCGCAGACATGTGTCATTAGCATATATAACTCGGCATTTCATTCGACAAACTAGGTACTTAGGTTAGGTAGAGGTGAAGGAATAATATATAATTATCTCGTAAACCAGAGTTATTAAAATTGACTTTCTAGGGACAGGCCCCTTAACTGCTTTGTACCTCTATTGACGAAGGGCACCAGCTGATGAGGTGTGGCACAGTTTAACAAGCCATTGGACAAAAAGGTATCAGGGTTCTCCGCGTCAGACACATTCCTCGCCAATGATGCGGCGGCACCTAACCTTTAGAGCACGTCAATTGGCGTGATGTGACACGTACATAGCATCAAGAATATACTTCTAAATGACATCTACCTATGTATGTAATAGGTTACCTAAATTATCTAGGTACCTAATAAGTAATTTCCTCTTCAAGACTCCTAAACTCCAACTAAACTCATTCGCGGGCCATGCAATATCATCAAGTCATACTATCAATAATCATCGCGGCTCAGCTCGTTAAGGATCAGTCTCCTTCTTCCCCATCGCCTCATAGCTGAGCTCATTAACACCAGCCTCGGTTCCTGTATAGCTCTTAAGCAAACCTCTTCTCAACGATAGCTGTACCAACTGGCTTCCCGGTCACGAACCCACCATTGATACCTCCGTGCTCGAAGACTTTCTTGCCCCTTAGCCACGTCTCTTTGACGCGGCCCGCGAACCGGCGGCCCTCCCATGGCGAGCAGCGGTTCTTCCAATGCATACCGGCCGAGTGTAATGTCCACTCCTCGGTGTCATCGAATACGCAAATATCAGCGTCCATGCCGACCTTGAGCGCTCCCTTGCGATGCGATAGTCCAACCTGCTTAGCCGTCGCGGCGCAGCATAGACGCACGATGTCGGTGATGCTCGGAGTTGACTTGCTCCCAGCTGCAGCTCGCTCCTTAGCCGATGTGTAAAGGATGGGCAAGCCGAGTCCGACCGATGAGATGCCACCCCATGCGGCAAAGAAGTCACCAACATCTTTTGCAGCCTGCGTTCCGATCTTTGGTTGGTTCTCGTTGGTACAAGCTAGGTCAGCCGTCATATCGATACCAGAATCGGAATGGTGCATATGCGGAGCTTCAATAGTTTGGAGGTGAGGCGGGAGGAGCTTGAGCTCGGGAGTGCAGGGCGAATGGTCAGAGACGATGGTTTTAATGCACGAGTCCGGTGCTGCGAGCTCTTCCCAAAGCCCGTCCTGGTTAAGCTGCTCACGAATTGGTGGGCAGCATTTGTATCTGCAATCACCATCCTCGACACCCTCAGCTGCCAACCCTAGATAATGGAAACAGGTCTCGGCCGTAATATCGATTCCAGACTTGCGGGCTGCCTTCAGGATCGGGATGGCTTGTGTCGCAGACAGGTGTACGATGTGTAGGTGCAGGCCTGGGGCTAGATGCGCGAGGGAGATAATCTCGTCGATTGCATAGGTTTCGAAGGATGGTGGTCGCGACTCGAGAAACGTATTGTACGATTGTAAGTCGCCGTGTGGTGCTAAGGGAGGGTCTGAGGCTTGTACTGCATCGCCAACTGAATCTGCAATCGGGGGGATCATCTCGGCATGGAACATGAGCGTCGTCGGTGTGCCATTTAGTGTTTTCATTGCAAGTGCAATGTCATTGGACGAGATGGCAGGGAACTCTTCAACCTATTGACTCTTATTAGCGAACCGTCTAGATGCGATTGACTTGTTGTAAGCGCAAACTTACACCCGACTCGATTAGGAAGCCTTTAAACCCGCGAACACCGGCCTCTACTAGGGGAAGAAGCTCGTCCGCATTTCCGGGGATAACGCCCCCGTAGAACCCCACATCGACCCAACATTGGCCCTGGCTAGCAGTGAGCTTCTCCTTGAACCCTGCCAAAGTCGTGGTGGGCGGGATAGCATTGAGCGGCATGTCGATAACAGTGGTCACGCCGCCAGAAGCAGCTGCCCTAGTACCGGTGTTGAACCCTTCCCATTCTGTTCGGCCTGGCTCGTTAAGGTGCACGTGAGCATCTACAAGTCCAGGAATCAAGAGTTTGGCGCCATAGTTGATGTATGTCGTTGACGGGGCAAACGACGTCTTGGGCAGGATGGTAGGTATAATATCCACGATCTTTCCGGTGGCTGGCGAGATAGAAATGGTGGCCGGGGTGAGTAGGAGGCTGTCGTCCGGTAAAGTGATTACTGCCCTCGTTGATACGAGGACAGTCAACGGTCCGGCATTAGTTCTAGAAGTGACTGTCATTATGTAAGGTCGACCTGTGGAATTTCGGTTCTTTTTTTGATGCTACAATGCTGCTATCTTGCTAATCTGCTAATAGACGAAGTGGTAGACTGGCAGACAAAGATAAGGATAGACTGGCAACGAGGACAAAGCAGATATCTCCTTATCACAATGTCTTTGACTGCAGGTTGGTGGACGAATGGTAAGAGAAAGAAGACGAGATAAGGAGAAAGCACGATATGCAACAAATGATCGAGGGAGTGTATCACAAGTCAGCAGTGATATGCAGCAATTCATAAAGTACGGTGCTGGTGATGACTGGAATGAAAGTGAATGATAGCCCAGAAAGGACAAGACCTACTGACGGGGAGGTGTACTACGTGCGGATATATGACGAGAAGATATGAGCAAGCCGAGAAAAGCGAGGGAACAAATAGTAAATGGGTTGATGGATACGATCGAGTAAGCGAAGTTACGTTCAACCTACGGCGTTTTGGGTTTTACTTAGAACTAGACCAGTCAGCAGCGATACCGCTACAACAGATCTCAAGTTTGGCAGGTTCTAGTACGATCGTGCAAGCGGTGAATACGTTGTGTAAGCTGCGGGCTACGGTGGGCTTATAGGGTTAGCCTCGGTAAAGGGGCAGATATCTCGAGACTACTCGAGAAAAGGAAATAGTCGGAGTGGTCTGCAGCAGGCCCTGATTCAGGAGGGCATAACCGCCTAAGAAGATAAGTCAAAAACATGACGAAAATAGCAGTTGAGATAAGAGAAAGACGGGAAGTGGTTTAAAGTGGGTGTAGGTGACGATAAGTAAGAGGGTACATCGAGTAATAAGACAAGGGCAGGAAAGAAAAGAAGAAAGAAAAAAAAACATTTGACGGGACTCCCGAATTGGACAATGGTTGTTATCGGTGAGCTCTGATTCGTCCAAGACTTTTTAACCCTTTAACCTAGGAAAGGTTATGACTTGCATTAGCTTGATGTCCCTTCTGTGTCCCTTCTACCAGTCTGTAAGGGGATTCATGTAACTTTTATTTTAGCCAATACCTGGCCATGCTGCCATGTTTACTTCTGCCAGTCTTATCAGATCAATATCGGACCTGACCGGGTTCTACATCAAAGTGGATATAAAGGTGTAGGTACCTACCTTCTAACCTACGTACCTACGTGACACATCATCTACAAAATCCAACTCAATTCAGGGGTCATGGTAAAAATAAAAAAATAATTAAAATAAAACCCGGCAAATTTCGAATATCGATTTCATCTCACAAGGATCAATATATGCACGCCCAGACAATTGTTTCATCCACAGATCTCTTGTCTTGACGTCCGTGTTACGTCGATGCGCCCCAGCGGAACGGACGGTGTGGATCATATTAAAGTTAACCATCAGTTTCTATCGAGTAAACTTCAAGTCGAGCCGTCACCCAAGTGGTCATCCACGAATGGCTTCATTTCATCACCGCATCGGGCAATCCCCTGCGCCCGCCATCGCTATTGCCAAGTTTCGAATATTTATCAAGTAATTTTATAGTAATACTTTCGGTTGTTTTCGGCCACGAAGGTCTCGACTTTCGATTTATATGTACTATCAGGGGATATAATGCTTACGACCATGTATTAACTCACCAACTCATCTGCTCCACTTCCCAAGGTATTAGCAGCAATGGCCTTCTCGGTGACTACCGCTGTTGTGAACCAATCCATCACCCTTCCGCAGCCCGCGATCATCTAATAAGTGTGGAGTGTTAAACATCAGAACTCTACCCACTCATAACAGAAGTAATCAGAAGATTCACTTAGGTACACACGTCGGGATGCCATGTTTAAAAGAGTTTCCTGCCAAACCGCTTTAGTCTTTATGAATGCCTAAACTAAGGGCAGATTTCGTTGCTCCCGTCCGCTAACCATGAGGCTACTCCGCGCTGGGCCCGAACTACCGGAACCATGACTTTTGCAGTCAAGCATATTCGCATATTCCAGTTCCGATTTTCTCGCCTCTATTTATTTTCCGATATAGAAGCCCTCTTTTCGATTGTCCCCTACTGATTCGGAAAGTCCCATTGGTCTAATCTCATTACGCTACCCAGAGACTATCTAGATAGGGTCTTCGCAACCTCTAGATTCCTTGCGAAATATCAACAAGTCATTTGATAAATAGATCTACTCATTAGGGATATCCGTTGCTTAGACCTCTAAGGTCTGATAATTACAGGTAATTGATTATTTAACGATGCAACTATGGGAAACCGCTTGTAGGTGGTATCACACGTAAAGAAAACATCTTGGCAATATTATTGTTAGGATTTATACCCGTTGGTTGATGTCATACACAGGCTGAGTGTCTAGGGCAGGTAGATCAATTAGTAAATAGTATTAAACCGATAACGCCTAGCCTTCTATCCTCTTACGAAGGCGCTGCGCGCCCCTTACATAGTATATAGTACATATACCCCTGTAACTACCATTAACCCACTTATACCCTGACAACAACAGCCACGAGTCTTTCTGTTTAGTAGCCTTTTTGAATTTAACTACCGTTATAAAAAGCGGTTCTCAGAAAGTCTGGGAAAGCAGTCTGTACCTGTCATTACCTGTATTTTAGTATAGAAATTTGTTAAAGCTACTTTACTATTTCTTGTTTGGCTCCGTTCCTTGCACTATACCTCCCTTAAACTACAAATAGCTCATATTCCAAGGCTTAACTACTTCACCAGACCACATGGCCATACTGAACAACTCTCTCTTTTATACTGAATCGTCTGCTGTAGGTCCCTTCTTTTTAGCCAGCTTTTTAGCAGGGTTTGGGGTCAATAGGTTATCTCTAAGAAGATTATAAAGAACTTCGATAATAACCAGGAAAAGCACGAACAGCGGAGCCAAAATAGCAAAAATAGAAAAGCCGTATGAAACATCCATGAATCGAGGGCTTGCTTTGATTTGGTCCGTGGCAAGCGCAACTTGCATTGCCGTCAGAATCAAGACAATAAAAACAGTAACCGTAGCTAGTGACGTGATATTGTCCCGGATTAAGCTACCGTATTTCCTCCAACCGCGAATATACAAAGTCAATAACGGCCACTGAGTGAAGCGACTAAAGAAATTCAGTCGGGAAAGACGAAGTTCCCCCCGGTGGAAGCGTGGGTGCACATCATCTTCCTTGTATTTGGTGAGAATCTCCTTGGAAAACTTCTTCTAATCATCCTATTGGATCTCTAAGCCCTTAGCTAGACGAGGAAGAAGACGGTGCTCTTTCGCGTACGCAAAGTCTCTCTCGTAAGTAAGAAGACAAACATAACATACGAGTAGAGGAAACCTAAGGCGCATCTCCGTAGTGCACAGACATCTCGCCGAGTTTCCGGAGGCGAACTGATGCCGGCTTGGATGGTATTTACGCCTCTCAAATTGCCGGTGTCGGGTACGGAACCTTGTTGGCAGTTGCAATCAACCTCGCAATTAAGATATTCATTCCAAACCTCGCAATTAAGATAAGTCAAACCACCCTTACTGGAGCCACCCTAGTGGGGGCCACCCATTTCCCATACAAAATCAACAACTTCGCATGTCTATAATTAATTCAAGAAAATAGATAAAAATAGATAATATCTTATGTTTTACTTTGCGATTATTATAATAGCTTATGTACATTTTGTCATATTTAAAATCTAATGTTTTGATAGTAAAATAATAAAGTGTATTTTTAATGTTATTTTGAAAATTTTGAAAATTTTAATTTTATATGGAAATTTCATCAAATTACCATAAAACCTTATAAACGCCTATAACTTCTTAGATAAATAAGTTATATAATTGGCCCTAGATTTAAAAGTTGTATTAAAACGTCCCTTATTTAACGATATAGATTCTACATTTATACCATATTAATTGGTAAAGTTATAAGCAATAATATCCCTTAACAGCTTTGCATATAAATTTGTATGTGTAATTGTTAGTGTATACTCTTGTATTCATTTCACCACAGATATTAGCCCTGCCATTTTTTCAAAATTCTATACCTGGTGAAAATCTAATACCGTACTCAAAATCAAAGACTGTATAATTTTATCTATTTTCTTGAATTAATTATAGACATGCGAAATCGTTGATTTTGTATGGGAAATGGGTGGCCCCCACTAGGGTGGCCCCAGTAAGGGTGGTTTGACTTATTCATTCCAAACCTCGAAACTAAGAAGGAAGCGAGGCAAGGGCTTTATGAAGATACTTCCGTCGTTCATCCAAACGAGATGTAAATCCAAACGCTCACAGGGAACAGTTTCTCTGCCTGAGTATAATTGATAATTCAGCGGTACTGCTGGGCGTTTACTCCCGATTGCCCAAAAATATTTTGAGAATACTTCTAATTTCTGGAGCGAAAGCTCTATCGATAGAATATAAACGTGATGAACAAAGCTTCGTCTTACAGGTGCAAAGAGGACCATAGTCTTGAAAGAAAGTTATAACTCGTATATCTATAGAATAATTACCTTATATAAGAGCAAAGCACGAGAGGCACACCATAGGCAGTCTATCGAGATTTACTTATACTCCGCGGGGCAGCCACAGAAACCAGATTCCTTTGCAGTATAGGCCCTCCTATTGGCCCAAGTGCCTTATTGGGATCTTTGAAGTAATGATGCAAGACTTACGCGACAGGTCAAAGAGATGTACTTAACATTACATTATTTTTATAAAGTTGAATGTATCGATGAAAGATTCCGACTTCAGATTTGGGAGGTATTTTAAGCCATAACGAGGCTAACACGGCCCAAGACAAGATATTTTTCAATTGTCCCTGTTATGTGTGCCAGCTATTCGGCCCAATAGGAGTGATATGTTAGGTACCTAAAAATGATACGCCCCTTTAGCTTTGGTCGCATTCTGTTAACCTATCAACAGCTGATATAATTGGACGGCGAGTCACCAAAACGGGTGGCCAGGAGGTATTTAATCGGAAAATATTATTGCCGTAGGCATCATCTGGGGGACTGAGTAGATGCTGTTCTGCAGCTCTCGCTACTCCCCAATATCTTACAGCCCCCTCGAAGATGATGCCTTGCACACCAGCACCTTTGGTTATGCATTTTCTCATTAACTATGCATGCGTAACTGCCCTCGATTTCTTTCCCTTATCCAACAAGGGCTATAGATAGCCTTGTTTTACCTACAACGTGACACCGTCTTCATAGTCAATAACGTTATCCTGACGACCGAAGCCGAGCCAATAACTCCTGTGGCTATTATAAGAGCTATTTGAATTCAATGATATACAAGCACAGAATTAGGGAAAATGCTACGGCAAAGCAATAGACAAGTTCGCTCGTCTAGCTCTGTGAATATTATTAGTTATTGACTAGGGATAGATATGTCCTACTCGATCACCGCTCGAGGTTTTATATCCAGACCCGACTAACCATCCTGTTGAAGACGCTGAAGTCGAGTATAGATACCTTATTTCTTGAATTCCGCTTTATATCTAACCAGTAATCAGCATAATTGCCGTCCATGGTTTGGGTTCGAACGTTGACTGGTCATGGACATGGAAGGACAAGGCCAGAAAACGACCACCCGTCCACTGGCTCAAAGATCCTGATATGCTCCCAGCTCTCCTGCCTAGAGCTAGGATCCTGGTATATAACTACGAGTCAATATGGTATGCCAACGCACCGCGAACACGCTTACAGCTCTGTGGAGAATCTCTGATGCGTAGTGTTCACAACTTCCGCGAGGATTCTCAACGACCTATCATATTTTTAGGCCATAGCCTTGGCGGTCTAGTTATCTTATATGTAAGGTTACAAAGATCGCATCAGACGGATAATACTGATCTTGAAAGGGCTTATTGTACGCTGAGGGGGAAGAGGAATTACATTATCTACCCAGACAGACTGTCGGGTTTGTTTCCCTCGGAACCCCCTTCCGGGGCACGCAGATGAAGTGGGTTACTAGTGTTATCGCCTGGTCAATGGCACCAGCCCAGTCACATTCGGGTATTATCCAGGATTTAGAGTACGACAATTCTACACTAAGAGATAAGGTCCATGATCTCTGCAAACTACGGGATAGACTACATTTGCCAACGTGTTGCTTCTTCGAGAAATTCAAGACAGATTACGGTAAGAAATTTGGGGTCACAGGATTCGCGAAGTTGATGGTAAGTACACCCGGAAATTTGAAGAATACCAGGAATTCATTGTGATTTCTAGGTCGTAAAAGAGGAATCCGCTTGTATTGCTGGATGGGAGCGAATTTCACTTCCAGCGGATCATCTTCAAATGAATAAGTATTCAGGCCCAAATGATTCCTCCTTCTTGAGTGTTTCGGCAGTAATAGTTGAGATGTATAAGAAAGCTAAAGTTGCAATCGAAAGTCGGAGATCGTGTAAGCTCCCAGCCTTGCTAACAATGGATACGCTCTAACACAACTCTCAGCACTAGACAAGTCTCAGTTCATGGTTCCCTTTGGCCGGAACAGTGGCTTCGTTGGTCGAGAACAAACACTGCAACTATTCCTAGAAGGAATCAGCCCAGGGACAAACCAGAATGATTGCCAGCGAGTGGTGCTTGAAGGTCTCGGAGGTGTTGGCAAAAGTCAATTGGCCCTCGAAGCTGCCTACCGCATCCATGAAAAATATCCAGGCATATCTGTCTTCTGGGTGCCTGCAATTAGTGAAGCAACATTTGTTAATGCCTACCGGGAGATTGCCCAACAGCTCAGACTCAAAGGACTTAATGACAATCAAGCAGACATAAAAGCACTCACGAAGGCCGCCTTAGAAAAGGAAAATGCTGGTAAATGGCTTTTTATCCTTGACAACGCCGACGACGTCCAACTACTCTTCGGCGATGGCAACACCAGAGGCCTGGTCGAATATATCCCATTCAACCGGAGCGGCTCCATCCTTATTACGACACGGACTCACGAAGTCGCCAGTAGACTTGATATCTTGAAATGGGATATCATTGCTGTCCAAGAAATGAACGAGAGGGATGCTTCTAAACTCTTGCAAAATTGGCTAGGAGACGATCGGTTAGGTGATGGAGAGAGCGTACATGACCTACTCGAATTACTAGCCTATCTTCCTCTGGCTATCAAGCAAGCGGCTGCTTATATAGCGAGGACGGGAATGACGACAACCAGATACCTGCACCATTGCCGTACAAGCGATAGTACTCTTATCAAGCTGCTAAGTAAGAATTTTGAGGACCGCAGCAGATACAGAGATACCTCGAACCCGATCGCAACGACTTGGCTTATTTCATTCGAGCATATCTCTCGGGATGCCCCATTAGCGGCAGAATACTTGAAACAGTTGTGCTTCTTTGGGGAGAAAGACATTCCTCTCACGTTGCTAAACCAGGATTCTGAATTAGAGACCGACGAGGCTATAGGTGTACTGAAGGGATACGCCTTCATTACAGAGCGAGATGGGACCAGTTTCGATATGCACCGGCTCGTGCGCCTCTCTATGCGCAATTGGATAAAGGAGAAGGGAAACTGGGAAGAGTGGATTACCCAAGGGATAAAGTATCTTGATCCAAGGTTAGAAGATGTAAGAAGTGGCGACATCATGACCTGGCGAAAGTATCTACCGCATACGCAAACCGCCTTGGAATTCCAACAAGACGCACAGGATAAAGAGGCCACGTGGGGACTCCTCATGAATATATCCATGGGTTATTTGGTCCTTGGATACTACGGGACGGCGGAACAGACAGCTCGACAATCCCTAAACCTGGCAGAGAATATATTTGGTCATGAACATCCTAACACGCTGGTTTCAATTAATTGCCTATCTAGTTGTTTGGAATCCCTAGGACACTATTTAGCATCAGAAAGTCTATACTGGAAAGCATTAGGACTGTGTGAAAGACAATTCGGCCCTCACCACCCCGACAGGCTTAGGACTATGGATAACTTGGTTTTGGCATTAGATTTTCAGGGAAAACTCGACGAGGAGGAAAAACTACAACAGCAAGTACTAGAGATACGTAAAGAAATGCTAGGAGAGAACCATTACGACACAATCACCAGTATGAAAAATCTTGCATCCACCTTAAAGAAGTTGGGGAAATACGAAAAGGCCGAAGACTTGTCTTCGCGTATAAATAAAGCTTATGAGACTTGGGAACCGGGATCCACAAATATGCAACAAATAGTAACAAGGTCTAAGATTTCAATAGACCAAGGAATGTATAGCGAGGCAGAAGAAATTCTTCGACAGTTGATGGATGTTGTGGAAATGGATCCAGAAGTAAACTATCAACAAATTCTTGACGCAAAATTAGTCCTCTCTACGGCACTTATGAAACAGGGGAGGTACGAAGAGGCCGAATTACAAATATGGGAACTTCGGAAGAAGATATCGGACGAAGAGGATTTGGACACAATTGACGCCTTACTTATTAATATGCATCTTGTAGAATGTTTATGCAAGCAAAAAAAGTATAAGGAAGCGAAACCGATAGTGCAACAAACACTAGAGGCTAGAAAGGAAGTATTAGGCGAGGAACATCCCGTAATTTTGGGATATAAGAGGATACTATCACTTGTACAGGAATATTTGACGATGGGCGATTGGGTCTGGTAAACTATCAGTCCCTAAACAGCAGCTAGTTATTCAAATAAACAGGACGTAAATCGATCTTCCTCGGCTTCTAGGCTTGTGAAATTATTCTTTGCTCTAGTTGTTTTTATCCCATCGTATCGTATAAGTGCTGTAAAGTAGTAGGCCCATTAACAGGTAGTTAATAGAGAAGTAGGTTTTAGCTATCTATTAAATGAGTGTATAACTACCTACCTACCTACCTAGGTATCGATAGTCTTATGGGGTTAGTTGATGGTCTTGGAGTTATCCCTAATAGTAGTAGTATTGACGATTAAGTAGAGGTCGTAATACACTACACGTGAGTCTAGAAGGACTCTATAATTGAAATATGAGTCAGATGAGTTGGGTAAAAGGAGGTAAGGGCGTGACAGCTATTGCAAATCCTCTAACCTAGAGCCTCGAATGCACGAAATCTTGCCCCAGGAGGAATAATAGCATGGCACGATCTCGTCGGACCCGGGCCGGATACGACGCTCAAGTCGCATCCGAAATTCGGGAGGGACGACGTTAAGCCCTAAAATCCTGGATTAGGCAGCTACCTGGCACACGCCGCTCGGCCAGAATGCTGCGAGTGGTTCTACGAAGGATCATGTCCCGCCTATTTAGTTGATTCCTATTGGACGAGGTGAGTTAGAGTATTCAGCTACTTCCCCTTGCCTCATTTCTGGTGGGGTTCTTTGATTAAAATCACGGTGACATCGAAGCCATGTGGCCATGCGCGCAGATGGGCGGGATAAGCTATTATGTATAAGCGCGTGTGCGGCGCTGTTATTCAGGTGTGCTAATACACGGCTCAAGATGCTCCAAATTGCCTCTTAATTTTTCGTTTTCTTCTTGTTATGTTCCTTGTCTTTTTCTTACTCCTCATCGCGAAGATCGCCTTCATTCTTTCGGTGATCGATTTGTGGTTGGCAAGAAGGAAACTGTTTATTTTCTTGTGGTACTCAATATGAAGGTCCATTCATTGCTTCTCGTCGCAGCGGCAACAGGCTCATCTGGTGCTGCTATAAAGGCCCGGAAGGAATCATTCTCTGAGCAGTTATTGGATACCCTTGGATCATTCTCTTTGTCGGACCCCATCGTTTCAGAGTTGACTGCAGCGATTCGAGATTCAAGCGTGCTATTAGATCAAGCTTCCAGTCAAAGTAATGCCATTAGCGTTCGAACGTCCCCTTTCCAGGCGCAAACCGCATGCCAATTGCTTCGCTATATCCTACCGGATTCCTATACCGATACTAGGACGAACCAAACTGCCTACGTCACCTTACAAGAAAAAAATTGGTCAGTCGGGTGCGGCACCGAAAAACGGGGTGATCCGTTATGCTAAATGTAATGTTTAGGTCGAGCAATTGTGACCTCCCCGCGGCTTGTTTCATAACCCCGGAACATCCCGTCCAGGTAGCTATCGCATTGCAAGTGATCAGTAGGGTCCAGTCCAAATTCGTCGTTAGGTCTGGTGGTCACAACCCTAACCCAGGCTTTGCGAGTATTGGTCAGGAGGGTGTCACGATCGACACACAACGTTTCTCAAACTTGAGCTTGAGTGCGGATAAGTCGTATGCGACTGTAGGTGCTGGTCTTCGCTTCGGGCCAGTTCAGGAATATCTCGACTCGAAGAGCGTTGCGGTAGTCTCTGGCCGTAACAAGTATGTGGGCGTATCCGGGCTCCTCCTCGGTGGTGGTCACCCCATCATCAACTCTCTTACGGGGCTTGCAGCGGACAACATCAAGAGCATGGAAGTACGTATAAACTCACTAAGTGAATGGATATCCGGTTATATGTGCTAACGAACTATCAGGTCGTACTTTCAGATTTCAGAGTTGTTACCGCAAGCAGAACCGAGAACTCGGATTTATTCCGTGCCTTAAAAGGGGGTGGGAACAACTTCGGTAAGATAACTTGTTCGATTCGTTATGAGATGATGAGATCAAAACTGATCTATTTTCTAAGGCATCGTCACAAAATTTGAGTTGTATACTAAGATGCCGCGGAACCTCTGGTATCGCAATGCAGTCTACGCCGCTTCTGATGCGCCAGCAGCTTTTAAGGCACTGGCAGAGGTGCAGAAGAATATGGAAGGGGACTCTAAAGCTGGTATCCAGATGACGTGCTCACCTGCCGGCTTCACTGTCGCATTCGTCTACGGCGAGCCTACCAACGACCCTGCTGTATTCGCGCCGTTTAGCAAATTAGTACCTACGTCTGAGAGGACTCCTCCCACGAACGGTACAACCTTGGAATTCATCGAGCTCCAAAGTCTGCCGCAGCCCGATGCCAATCACGACACTGTCGGTGTTACTACGACTCTAGATGCTGACATGTACCTCGATTTCTACAACCAATATCTCTCCATAAATGCGGCCAATAACGGCACTTCCGCCACGTACCTCCTTGCTATCCAGACCTTGGGTGCGGCCGCTGCTCGGGTTGCCGACTTCAACGGCGGAAACGTTCTGGGTTCATCCAAGAGGGCTCTAACCCTTTGGAACCCCATTTCGACATGGACGAACCCGGCAGAAGACAAGCAAGTTCACAGCGTTGTAACACAAATAGGGAACTACATCGAGAGCCGGTCGCAAGCCAAGAACCTATACGACCCGCTGATCTTCGCCAACATCGCGGCGCACGACCAAAACGTGCTCGCGAGCTACGGTTCGCAGAACCTAAACTTCCTGCGAGGCGTGAGCCAGAAGTACGACCGCTGCGGCACGTTTCAAAGACTACAAAATGGCGGATTCCTGGTTTCTAGAGCATAGAGAAAATGGCTGGCAATAATGTGTACATATTAATTTTGCATGTATATTAATTTTAATCGCCAGGGGGTACCGAGCTCCTGGAACTTACTTGTCTCGGTGTGATTTTGGCGCCTAGATTATAGCACCCCTTACTTCGGGGATAACAGCTAATGCATATGCAGGCGGTACGAACTGTTGGTGGTATGGTCTTTCTTGGCAATGCTCAACCTCGCCGAACCTCACCGATGTAGCCGATTAACTAACCTCGCCGACCTCGCCGAAGCCGACGGTATGATAGACCTTGCCGAGTAACAAGTTCTTACCGAGAAAAGAAAAAGAAGAAAAAGGTAGAGCATACTTAAAGTGGTAGCTAGACAAGCCTCGGTACCTTACAGCTTCCTGTGCCGCCTCTAGTCTAGGAACACTCTTGAATTCCGCCGCTTATTCCAGTGAACTCTCCGAGTAGGACCCTCTACCCTACTTGATAGCTTAAAGGAGCAGGGCATCGGCAGCCGCTATCTATCGTCGGGCCGACAAAATGCGAGAGCCTCACGGAGCCCTGGCTTCTCCATAATGTAAAGCTCTCTATTAGCCATAGTCGGGAGCTATGATTGCTCAATAGCGTCTAATTATAGGTCCTCGACACGTACGTAGGGTAATATTCCAGCACATCTAATTCCTTTCCCCCCTAGCACGGTTAAGCACCGTTACTCCGTAGACTATCACACTGCACTTCTCTTTATTCCAAGTCGTAGACCTCCTACGTGTAACGCGGATTGTCTTGATATGTATACCTAGTCCTTGTATACCGCCCGCCTAAGAAAAGATTTCTGGGCGTCTGTTTCGCTCTTTCGACTTGTCTGACACCTTTCCTCCTCCCCATCTAGAGGTGTCCACGATGGGTGCATCTCCGGATAGAACTAGTGCCGATGCTGACACGACTAGCGCCAGGACGTCTCTTCCGCCCGCGTCGCTGTCGGGGTCACTGAATGAAAAGGCGGATCTGAAAGAGGCTGTTATTGTTGCGAACGATGATGCTGGTGATACGCCAAAGGCAGTGTATGCGGAGGGATGGAAGCTCTGGATCGTCTATGTCGCAACGCTGTTAACTATGTTTCTTGTGGGTAGATATTCTTAGCTGGATAGTGCTTGGCTGGATTGCTAACCGCGTCTATTCTGCAGGTACCGCTTGACATGGTATGCCATTGACTACCTCACTTATTTTATGTTTCTACCGGCAAAGTCTTATTCTAACAGTTACCTCTAGACCATAGTAGCAACCGCCATCCCCAAGATCACAGAAGAATTTCAGAGTCTGGACCAGGTTGGCTGGTATGGCTCGGCGTTCTTCCTGACGTTAGCAGCCTTCCAGGCGCCATGGGGAACAATCTACAAATACTTCCCGCTCAAAATTGCCTACGCCGTCTCCGTTTTCATATTTGAATTCGGAAGTCTGATCTGTGGTGTTTCGAGGAACAGCCAGATGCTCATTGCAGGCCGTGTGATCACCGGCTGTGGAGGCGCTGGTATTACTATCGGTACCTATGTAATCATTGCTCATCTTGTCCCGGCCGCAAAAGCTCCAGCTTTTATCGGTGGTATCGGTGCTGCTTTTAGCATTGCGAGTGTAGCTGGTCCGTTGGTTGGAGGTGCCTTCACTGGTGAAGTTACGTGGCGGTGGTGGTACGTCTGTCTTTGCTTACTTGTGATTGTGATACTTACTGCAGTACAGTTTCTATGTTAACCTGCCCATCGGTGGCGCTGCATCTGTCATCTTCTTTGCTTTATTCCCGAAGCCAAGTATACCACCCCAGCTAGCGACACTCAGGGAGAAGCTTCTAGGTTTGGATCCTTTGGGAACGATTCTTGCGGTTACGTCCATCATATGCTACTTTCTTGCCCTTGAATGGGGTGGTGTATCGAAGGCATGGAACAGCGCAGACGTAATCGGGACGCTCATCGGCTGGATTCTTCTTGCTATTGCTTTTGGTGTGGTGCAATGGTTCCTGAAAGAGCGAGCATCAATCGTCCCCCGAATCCTCGCGCAACGCCACGTCTGTAGCGGCGCGGCTTTCATGTTCTTGTAAGCGATATCGAAATCCATGCTTTTTCTCGGTTTTGACTAACTGGTGGAATTCAGACTGAGTTGCGCCAACTTCATGATGATTTACAATCTTCCGCTTTACTTCCAATCTGTAAAGGGGTCTAGTCCGACTTTGAGTGGCATTCAAGTTCTGCCACTCATTGTTTCTGCCTGTAAGCTCTTCCAGGCCCTTTTTTGACCCTCACTAACATCACATAACAGCCGTGACCGTTATTATCAGCGGTATTCTCTTTACAAAATTCCCTTTCTATCAACTTTACCTCCTCATCGGTGCTAGCTTGACCGCGGTCGGCGCCGGACTGCTTTACACCCTCGAAGTAGACTCGTATGCAGGGGCATACCTGGGATACCAGTTTGTAGTTGGTATCGGCAATGGAGCGTGCCAGCAGATCCCTCTTACGGTTGTACAGGCCTTTTCTAAGCCTGGAGATTTGGCTACGTCGATGTCTACCCTTCTTTGTGAGTCAAGCCCTCATCCCGGTCTCAGTCTTTCTACGAACATGAGATGCACCCACAGCCTGCTTTATATACATGTTGCTAGTATTATAAAGAAAAAGCGCTAATCATCTTACTTTCGCCAACAGTTTTCCAGCTATTATCGGGTGCCATGTCGGTAGCTGCGGCCCAATCCCTTTTCATAAACCGCTTGCTCTCCGCTGCTTCCATCCATGTCCCAGACGCCGATCGCGCAACCATCATCGCCACCGGAGCTACTGATCTCCAACGCGTGTTTCCTGGTGACCAATTAATAGGGATACGCGAAAGCTATTTAGATGGGTTGCACGCCGCATGGGCTATGGCTATTGCGTTTGCAGGCGCTGCTTTATTGACCGGGTTAACGCTGGGATTCAAGAGAATTGAAAAGCCTCAGGGAGAGCTGACGAAAGATGTCGAGGAGGGTCAGGGGACTGAAGTAAAGGTCGAGGGGAACAGGACGTTGGGTAATGGTGAGAAAGCGTAAATTGTTTAAAGAGATATGAATAATCAGGTTTAGATCCCCTAAGGGTACACGGGTGTGTCTTCTTTGAATTTAGACAATCTAGAGGATGTGTGGGATCAGTTACATCCTAGGCCTGTTTATGGCGCTCTTTGGGATGTGAACCTGTCGGTTAAGAGGTAACTTTCATGATCGGAGGCCGCGCAGCTTGACTTCAAGCATGGGTTTCGGGATCCTAGCTATAGGATGGTGGGTCTTTTCGGGGATATTCCGAAGTTTCTATACGCTATTCATCCAAGAACCGAGGCCGAATTCCTGGCGGATCGGGGCTGATTTTAGCTAAAGGAATATGATGGTCGTCCGGTATCGATCCTAGATTATATATAAGGTCTTTGGATTCTATGTCTGGTTCAAGAATTGAGTATTCGCCATTGGAACATAGCCAATCGTCTTCCAGACAAGGTAGCATTAACCCCCAGAGTATCTGCTAGTACTTACAATATTCGTAGGATTCCTATTTCTATGTATTTCCTTGTTTTTGTTCTTCTTTGATACCCTCCTTCTCGGGGTAACACTATAGCAACACTATACGTTATCTACTATACAACATGCCTGCAAAAATTGAACCCCGCTTTGCTTCTCCTGTTCATAACTCCAGCCACTCTACCCTCTCTTCAGATTTCACCGTGGTGGCGGTTTCGCGCTCGCAACCGGTTACCCATGATATTCACTCACAGCCGACGCTCACAGCTATCGTTCGATCGCCTTCGACGACTCCGTTGGTGCTCACTCCTGAAGAAGGTATCGAAGGACATAAGTCTGCCGTACACGATGCGCAGGTATACGCATTCTTCGCCCATCATTATGATTACTGGACGTCACGTCTAAATATAGAGCGGTCTGGATGGAATTGGGCTTTCTGGGGAGAGAACTTGACCTTGAAAGCGCCAGACGGGATTGATGAATGGAGCATCAACTTAGGAGATCGGTGGGTATTTTCGTCCCCTGACGATGACGTGAACGGCAACCATCGGGGAGTTCAAAATAAAGGGGTTATTCTCGAGGTTGTAGGGGGGCGGAGTCCGTGTTCACGGCTCGCGTGGCGATGCGGACAGCCGAGTAGTTGGCTAGCCGAGGTCGCCAAGTCCGGCTTCTGCGGTGTCTACCTGAAAGTCGCGCGCGGAGGTTCCATCGCACCCGGCGCCACGGCGAAAATCATCCCGAATAATCAAGAATACACGGTTCCGGCCGGCAGCATCGCCCAGTGTGTATTCTCGCCGCTCAGGGATCCCGCTACTCGTACGTTAGCAGAGCGTATCCTGCGTGTGCCCAATTTGCAAAAGATGAATAGACAGATCATCGCTCGCAAGCTAGGGATGATTGAGGATAACGAAGCGGCGGGGAAGAATCGATGGGCTGGGTGGCGGTCGCTAAAGGTCACCAATGTGGTTGATGAGACTTCTACTATTAAGTCTTTCTATCTAAAAGCCATTGACGACAAGCCCTTGGCATCCTATCTCCCGGGACAATTTCTCACTGTAAAATTGCCCTCTGGCGACATCCGCCGCTGGTCTATTTCTTTGTGGTCGCCCCCATCCTCTACCTCAGTCCCACCATCTTACCGTATCACGGTTAAGAAAGGACTAGCTGCGTCTCGTTATCTTCATTCCAATGTCCTAACTGGGGACACGATATTAGCACGCTCACCATCTGGATCGTTTGTCCCTGATTTAAGCCAAAACTTCCCCCCTCGACAGATATACATCAGTGCTGGAATAGGCATGACTCCGATCCTTAGTATGATTCAAGCTCATTTTTCTCATCCGGCTTTGAAGAAAACACCTGTAATCCTGATCCATGTCGCCCGGAATGGTGAGCAAAATACCTCTCATTTCAAATTTGAACTCTCATCATTCGGTCTATTCCGCATGATCACGTTTTACACATCTCCTATTGCTGGTATAGACGTCCAGGGCAGAGACTTTGACTATACAGGGCGACCTACGTTCGATTTCTTTGCCGAGCTATTAAGCCCATCGTATTTTATCGATCCACTATCAATCACTCCCATCGAACTAGCGGGAAACGTCTCTAACGCGTATATCTGCGGTCCACCGGATTTTGTAGATGCCACGCGGGACTACCTTGGACGCTGCAAAGTACCACCGCCGGCTATTCGTTACGAAACTTTCTCGTCAAATTCGGATTTCAAACTTGACGATCTATTAGTTTCGGCGGCGGACGGGACAGAACTACCAGAGGATTCAATCGTCCAGTTTCGAACGAAAAAGGTCAAGTGGAAGAAAGCTGAAGCACTCTCACTTCTTGAGCTCCTCGAGCGAGATGGTGGAGGGGACCAGCCAGAATCAGCGTGTCGGGAGGGCGATTGCGGGACTTGCGAGGTAAGAATCTTAAAAGGGGAAGCTCGAGTTTCGAAGAATGCTGGTAAAGAGGCAAAAGAAGCAAGTGGAAAGGCCGGGACTATGATTAGATCGTGTTGCTCCTTTCCAGCAAGCAAGCTTCTAGAATTGGAATTCTGAAATACTACATCATATTCTATCACGGGGGTCGCAGGACACAACGTGATACACCAGATGCCTTTGAAATGGTCCGAATTACATAGAAGAATAGCCAACAGCTCATGCCAAACCCGACTCTTTCAAAATTACCCTTTCGTTCAACTCAACCTCCTTTATAGACTACCTCGTCAAAGAATCACAACTCAACAAAAGATCCGGATGATGGATCCACATCTCATCATCCCACGGCCAATCCATATTCTCGTCCTCCCCATCGCGGTCGAATTTCTTCTCCTTTTCTTGCCCCCCTACCTTAACATCCAACGAAATATTCCAACTCTCCAGGATCTCAACAACCACGCTCCTCAGAACCAACTCCGCAACATATTTCCCCAGACAGGTTCGCGGACCAAATCCAAACCTCCAATACCGATACCGCAAGTCGCGTCCGCCCTTCTGCCGCTCAAGCCACCGTTGCGGCCGGAACCGCTCCCGGTCCTCGCCCCAAAACGGGTTCCGGATGTTGAGCGCGTACGAATCAACGACGAAGTTAGTGCCTGCGGGGACTTCGTAGCCGTCGAGGACGCGCGGCGTCGGACATGCCTGTGGTGTGGAGAACGCGGCGAGCGGGCGCAGGCGTGCGGACTCGAGGATAGACGCGCCTAGGAGAGTAGGTGTAGTTGTCCACGATGAGAGGAGATAAGCATTTCGAGTCGCCGGATCTGAGGAGTGTGCGAAGATCTCGCAGCGCAGCGCTTTCTGCACGGCTGGATGGGTTGCTAGGAACACGAGGGTCCACGACATGCCGCCCATAGTCACGTCGATGTTCGCGAACATCATCTCGTCGAGAGTCTGCAGGAGTTCCTCGCGCGACATGGTCCCTTTCTCGACGTCTTCGTACATCTTGATAATAGGGGCTGCGTCGGATCCCTTGGCATCGAGAGCGTGGGCATATGCTCGGTCATTCCAATTGGCCCAGCGCTCTTTGAAATGGCGAAGCGTGCGTATAGCTGGGATGGGAAGGAATCGTGAGATACGGAATCTCGTTATGCCTCCGCTAATGACGTTTTTGAATAAATCCTCTCTATCCGGGATCAAACCCCGGAGTTCCCGTTCCAGTATCGCATCCAGCGGCCCATATACAACCCTCGCGACGAAGAGGAACGGGAGTAATTTTAGATCACGCACAGGATGCAATTTTCCTTGTTCTTTAAGCGTCACATTCTCCGCGCTCAGGGTACCCATGTACGACTTGGTGAAGTTCTGTACGTCAGTAACGTATGCGCTCGTTGACCGGTGCAGAAACGGCGCCTCGACGCCGGTCTTAACGGCGTTCCAGGACGAGCCGCTGATAAGACCAAGGCAAGATCCTAGAAGACGTTCCATGAGATAGCCGCTATCATTTGCGTGGGCCTTGATGTGTGCGTGAGAATCACGGAACACAAGCTCTACATGAGAGGGCTTGGTTAAGACGCTTATGAGATAAGTTAGCAATGCACTTAGTGTTCATCTCGATAGCGCCAGTGAGTAATGAAGATGAGACTAGTTAGAGAGGAGAATTAGGATGCTCACACTTCCCCCTTCATCCCTGACCATAGGCGATAGAGACTCCCATACTCGCTCTCCCACTTGGCGCTGTTCGCGCGTCCATTCAGAAATTTCTCAACGTTTCCTTGACCATCAGGAAAGACGTATGGAAGTGATGGCAAATCAGAACCATTCTTCACATGTTTAATTTGGTAACAATGAGATAATATTGTCTAAAGGTTGACTGTAAGTTGAATCCGTTGATGATTGGGTTTAGAATTACTCACGTTCATTACACCAGAAAGCAAGGACTTGAAACATGTCTGTATTATTTGACTTCGTAGTATGAAGACAAGGCCGACGACTGCAGCGAGGATTGCAATAGGAGAGGGAACGTTGGCAAGAATGTAAGCCTGTAGAGAGGACATCATACCAATTTGTACGGGTACTCCGCAGCTAGTTACCACGATAGAAATTCCAAGTATTCAGAGCACTAACTAGAAATCAACGAAGAGATCACTGGGGCTATGATAAAAGAACTACAAGTCAAGCTAAGTCTGCTGATTACCTACAGCTGAAGTCTTTTACGAGTGTGGTAGGATAGATCCCGTCTTAGTTAGTTCCGGGAACCATATCCAGGAGCTGACTCCTCCGAGCCTTGCTCTTGATCCTTAAAACTAACCGCCATACCGCGTGTGGATATATTTTAGCAGAGGTTCCCCATATTGACGCTAGCCTTCACATCTCATGATTATAAGGAGAGGGAATATCCAACAATAGGTAACGGTGAGGGCATCTCTAAATGGGAATCGACGTATAAGCCATCCTGTGTTACTACACACCATCATTGCACATTCCCCGCACCGTGCGAAGTAAACGTTACGGCATACGGAGTCCGGGCCGAGCGTTAGTCGGCCGCCGATCCCGGGAGCCGAATTCTCGGGAACTAAATAAAAACGCACCACGCTGAAGCCACACTACTGATACCTGTAGGTACGTAGGGTTCTGTCCCTGTGGGTAAGACGACGATCGGCAAGCTAAGCATTGTCAAAATGCGAGAACCCGAGACACTGTGTGCCTATATGCGGGATACAGTTCTAACAGTCACTATTTATAGCAAAATGTTTCTGCGAAGTAGCCGATAAGTGTGAAAAATACCCATAACATTTAGTACCGATTTACGGTACGTTATCGCTACCCGTTGGTATCTAATTTACATCTCTGGTACCCATGCTGGCTATATACAAACAAGTTTTGATTTTCGTACATGATGATCGCTCTCATAGCGCGAGATGTCGCGCTGAACTCCATTTCTGCTTTATCTGGTACATTAATGTCTTCGTCCTGACCTGTAAGTCTTCTAGTAGAAGATCATGCGTCCGCTTGGAGACGCTGTTCCAATCCGGTTGTAGCAGTGTCTGCTTGATCAACTTGGACACTTGAAGAACTGTTGATAATTCCTTTCCCACAATGTGCATCTGCAAGGCTTGCTGAACCTCGCGGTCGACTTGGTAGGCGCCGAGGTGGAGTGAGAGGTCTCCAGATGACCCGGTATTTTCGAGACCGCAGATCACGGACGGCATGCACTGCTCGAAGAAGGTGATTACTTGTGTAAGGCAGACCAATATGAGAATCATATGCGTAGATGATAACGGGTCTGCTAAAGATAATGCGCGGAGAACTTCAGTAACGCGTGGAAGAAGCTGTGAGCTCTGATGAAGCACCTCGTCTAGCGGCATGGGTGATTTGTGTGGTCTACGGGAAAGCTCCTCAAGCTGCGTTGTCCAGTAGTTGACATCACCCCCAGAGGAATGCGGTGTACCGGGCGTTTGCTCGGAACCATGGCCCTGATAGCTTGATGTCGTCGTCGTTGAAGACGATGTTCCAAAGAGTTGTGTTGTATGGAGTTGTTGCTGCTGCGGCTGCGGCTGTTGTTGTCGAGATGGTGAAGCTCGAGGAGATTGATGGCTGGTAATGAGTCGAGGAAATGTTAATTCTAAACGAGTCCCGATAACTTCAAAATAATTATCGTCGATATCTGAAAAGTCTATATCCTCGAAATTCGAAATGAGCGGGTCAAAACTGGGTCCTTGGAGCTCATCACCGATATTATCAAGTGACATGGATGCTACCGAATGTTTTCGTTGCTCCTGACTGGTGGCTTCGTCTAAGATACTCATAGAATCACTTGCTGATCGATTATGATGATGAAGACTATAGTTTCTTTCTACAGACGAGCTAGGGAACTGTAGCCCGTTCTGCTCAATCTGCTGCTCGACGTCGCCAACCCCGCTAGATAGACTATTGGACGAATTCCAGTCGTGTAGTTGCTGCTGTTGCTGATGACTACCAGTAGGGCTGGTTATGTATGGACCCATGGTCTTAGGAACGCTTGACTTGCGTCTTCTGCTTGCTCTATCTGCTGATGTGCGGCCCATATTTGACTGGCTGTAGTGGCATGTTTTGTTACCACGCTCACAGCGCTGGCAACCAGAGAGCTCGCCGGTGCAGCGAACCTATAGCAAATTGTCAGCAACTCATTTTTAATTCACATTTCTTGAGTAATGTCTCATCATCCTCTACTCACTCACCTTTGATAGATGGCAGTTATCGCAAGCTAGACGCTTTTTGCGATCAGTGCTTGGCGACACACCCAACGCATTGACCGTACGACCGCCAATTAGTGTCGTCATCGTGAACCACTTTACAGAGAGATGTGAAGAAGAGGCTGGCCGTCTTTCTTATTGCTAGGTAAAGCAATAAGACGTCCACAAGACCCCCAGGCGTATTTTCAAGCTAGACGTCGTGGAGGTATTCTTGTACATATTCTTTTGGGAATCCAGGAATCACAGAATCGTACATTTAAGATGATACATCTTGTCGACAGGGGCACGATTATGTACACCAATGATGCCAAGATGCAAGCCTACCTAGGTAGGCTCTCTCGCTCATCTGCGGGGCCTACAACGTATCGTATAGATTCCTTCACATTTACTGTATGTAGTTTGTTACATAGCTGATGTACGATAATGTTGGCTTGGCGTTCCGGAACACTGCGCATATGTAGCATCTAGTAAGACGAACAGGGGTGCAGCAGGGAAGAATGTGGTATGGTGGATCAGCTTGCTGACAAGAAATGCGCGCGCGATCAAGTAACAAGTAACGATGAGGGTGTTTGTTCAGTAGACGAATCAGTATAACCTTTGCTATTTTGTTACCTCGCTCTCGCTATGAGTTTGGCTGTACACTAATGAATTAGCCTCCGGGAAATGCTATATTTAAAATCCTTCGATGGCCGCTCCGTGATAGCTTCGGTAACACTAGGTACCTCATAAGACATGAGCAGTGTTGGATGGTTTGTATAATGTCAAATCTACCAATCACCTAACCTAGGCGTATCATAGAGTATAACACATAACATTTATAAATAATACTACTGTTGGTTATTTGCACTATTGCTCGGACATTGGTGTACACCAACTTCCAACATTTACATTGCTATCAAAATCGTAGCGTACTTGCGGGGACAACAGTCTATTTCCGCAATGTAGCATTTACGGACCCCAAGGTGGAAACGGCTTTTTGCTACGAAAGTACAGCACTTACAAGGCTAATCGGGTATGTACATGTCTAACCTAGGTAAATAGGTAGTCATCCCTAGAGTCCAATTCTGGGCATATCTTTTTTTGCCTTCAAGGATTAGCAGCCTGTTTGAGCTCTTCCACCCACTTCTCAGCCTCCTGTGTCAAATCCGGATTGTATAGCCAGCCTAACTCTCCACCCTCACCACGTGTGAGGGACTGGTCACTCCAGATAGCGCCCGGTGGCATCTTAGCTCGCTCTGATTCGGGGAGACGTTTCGCGTTCATCTGGTTAGTTAGGTCAAGGACTTTCTTAACTCGCTCTTGGCGATAGGTTTGCCATTGCGCGGCAGCCTTGTCTAGCGGCACCTCGGGGGAGAGCTTTGAGAGCAGAGTGGCCAGTGCTCTTACATCCTCGAAAGCCTGGTTGGCACCCTGGCCGGCAGTTGGCGGGATTGCGTGCGCTGCGTCTCCGACTAGGATAATTCTCTTGGACTCAGATAACCACGATGCTAAGGGCGGTATACCGTGGAAAGCCCAAAATCCCATCCGGTCCACTGGCGTCGCCTCTAGAGCTGATTGCACGATATCCGGCCAGTCAGACTTATTCTCTTGAAGCATTTCATACAACTTTTGCTTGTCCTTTCTCAGCGCTTCCCAACCTGCCGCGTCTAGCCCGGGAAATCGCCTCTGCGAGCCAATAAAAAGCTCGGACCCGTCCGGCTTTTGGGGGACTAGCAGAAAGGCGCCCGGCTTGGCCATGACAGTTGCGGGTAGGCTGTAGCCTTCAGGGATACGAAGCTGAGATCTCTGCACAACGCTGTTGATACCCATGAAACCGGCGTACATAGGCTTCACCTGGGGTAAGAAAGTCCCACGCACGGTCGAATGGATTCCGTCGGCTCCGATTACGAGAGGAGCGGATGCGACGCGTCCGTCCGCAAATGTAAACTCGACCTTGTCTGGGCCATCGGATGTGATGGCAGTCAATTTACTATCAAAGTGGATGGGGATGTTGCGCTCCCGCACCATGGCCTTCAACTCATCTAGAAGTTGTTTACGCATGATACGGATGGCATGGTAGCCGTATAGCTCCTCAGAGCCAAAGTAGTACACATCAGTAGTCTTGTCCTGGACATCCTTGAAGGTGAGGATGTCGAATTGTAGTGAGTTGTCGCGAATACGTTTGTAGACACCCACGCTATCGAGGACCCTCAAGGCGTTGGGTGATAGCATAATACCGCCCCCTTGGTCGAAATCCGCAGAGCGGGCCTCATAGACCGTAGAGGGGATATTCAGATCATGCAGCGCCAGAGCGAGGGTTAGGCCCTACGAGTAGGGGGGGCATCAGCAAAAGTCACAACCACAAAGGGTCAAAATACGGCGCGACAAGACGGCGTAGATCGACGCTAATCGACTCGAAAGACCCAGGGGCAGACGCCAGACTACTTACGGCAAGACCTCCGCCAATAATGGCCACTTCGGCAGGGGGGGCAGTAAGAACCATGGTGAGAGGACGATGTGGGTAGGGGGGAAAAATACAAATCCTAGCTATGGACGACGAAAGGTACGGAAATGAACTTGATGGATTTTAGAGGATTCAGTACTATATACTCAACAAATGAAATGTGAGATGGTTCGATAGTTCGATAGTTCGATCAAAAAGAGAAGAAGTGAAGAAGAGAGCAGGAAATATCCTTATTATCATTATTGCTAATCCGCCTTATGTATGACCGCGCCGAACGGTCGTCCTTCAACCTCGCCGAGCTCTTTTATTGGCTAACCTCGCCGATCTTGCTTGCCTATAGGACAAGCAGGGGAGTAAGAGGGGGATGATTGGTTTGGGATCGCAGAGGGGGGTGGGGAGAACAGCAGCTATCGTAAGGCTCCTACGGAAAATTACACAACAGCTTAATTACTTGAGAGATTCAAGCTAGCTATGTAGGAAGCTGGCTTAGATCTCTAGCAATTGGCTGTCGAAGTCGATTTGTTACTAGCGTGATGCAATAGAACCGGGGGATGCTGGAGGCAAGTAGCACATCATCGATTTAAGACGAGGTTTAAACTACGAATATGTACATACGTAACACGACCGTTTTTCGTACATATATCTAAGGTGGTCTCTCAAGTTATCTCTATAAAACACTTCTGCGTTGAGAATAATAACGTAAAGATAAAGAATGGGTGGAAAGGGGGGGGGGGGGGGGGGGGGGGGGGGGGGGGAATTGTTTAAGATTAATGTTTAGATTGTTTTAGGTTGAATATGAAAGTACATA